CTGTCTAGCTCTTTTTTGTATTTGTTCCCAGCGTGGAGTATGAGTATTTCTGTGGAATAGCTTTGCAACTGCACTTTCATATTCAAATTCATATTGCACATTCATTTTACTCCCTAATTCTGAAACTTCGTCCCATTTGGTCCTGGTGACCTTTCATACTGACGTTTGGGGACGTTTTTGTTGGTTTTTGACTACTTATGATATCTATTCCCAACTGGTGCCCAGTTTTCATGAAAATTAGCGAACCTCATTGAAAAACCAGTTTCAACCACAAGTCACTAGATAAATGCTTTTCTGTGCGCCAGGTTATCACGTGTTGAATCCAAGATGTATATAGATTGGATTGTATCAACTCTTATTTACTCCATAAGTCATACTCATTTCAGCGAACACATCGTCAGTGTTAAGCGACCGTGTAGAACGACCCGACTCCCACACCATTCCTTTCTCTCAAACCCCATCTGCAGTACGCACTAAGTTTGCAGTGACATTATGTCAGAAGAACATGTGACGATAATATCGTGGCTTTTCTCCAAAGAGGCAAACATGGCTTGCTTCATTGTTAGTGCCCGTCCCAAAGTTTGAAGACGGGTCACAGTGTCCTAAGCAAGCTGATATCATATCGTCGATTAGGTGGCTGTTGCTCGGCTTGCCTAGCCGAGCATTATTTTGAAACACTACCAAGCCGATAGTTCTTTCTGAATAACCAAGTCTTGCAGAAATGGTGAATGTATTAATGTCATCTACCAAGTATATAGGCGCGCAGATCACTGGTAACGTGGAGACGACAATGTGTGATCGTTCATAAACTACATCCAATGGGGCTGTGTGGTTGCTGAAATAAGAACTGGTCACGTATGGAATGGTTATCAGTAGTCACTGGTGCGAAACTTTAGTAGACAAGGACACCAGGTCAATGAAGCTCATGTGGTGATGCTTATCGATCTGTAGATCTTTGGGCTGGTTGACGAACCGAAAAGCAGTTTCGAGGTTGTCAGTCTTCTTCTAGTAGCTGTAGGTATGTTCCTGATCAACATCATATTTGATCCTACTACAAGTGTTTATTAAGAGAACTTACGCTAACACGAACCGCCTTCCCTGACTTTCGGTTGCAAGCAAATACGTTCGCCCAACATCTGGCCGGACCTACTGATATCATACAGCATGGATATTCCTTCTAAGTCATATGGCAGCCACCTAGGAACTTATCTTCAGGAGGATTCTCGGTTGCAGACTAGGAATTCGGTTACGAAACTCGGACTTCCCTGTTAGAAGACGCTGCGCTAATCTAACACCATTCTCACCAGCGAAAATAGACGTTGCGCGGAATTCACTGAAATTGCTGATCTGGGGAAATTCATACAGATTATGTAGGAAGAACAGGTATATACCAAGAAGTGGGGCAACCGCTGTTTGGAGCGTTGAAGGTATCTGTGACTCATGAATTTCCATCACAATGCTCTATATTTCAGCTCACATATCTGATAGAAAATAATTGGCAAACAATTACGTTCATATCACACCATGGCTCGCAGCATTTTGTCACTCATATTATACATTCTTTCCAAGGTTTTTATCATTCTTGCTTGGCCAGACATATCTCATTTGACTACACAATGTGGCCGTCAGTCTAACTTCCATGAACCCGTTAATTTCTGTCGCAGCTACAGGTCAGGAAAATTATTGAAAGACAATAGCTCCCTTAACGCAGTAAGGTAAGCAACTTCTCATACCGCAAAATAATGGAACAGTGAGTTTACGTTTCAGTGGTCTGTTTTCTGACTGGCCCGAATACAACCTTCATGGGATAGCATATCAGTGAAGCCGGAAAGCTACTGTAACGTCAACGGTTTCTTTCCAGATTGAAAATTGGAACATTTAATCTTGTGGCCTAACAACATCAGATTTAGCGGATTCGCCTTCAAGTTGTATGTCAGTCACATTTGAGCCATAAAGTTTAAAGAAAGGAGGTGAGCTCGCGTGCATTTTTCGGGAACACAAGAATAAAATATAGAAAGTGAGCCGCCATACACAAATCTACGATATCCTAGTTACTTATTTTCAATTATCTCAGAAGATCCCAGTTCTGAGTTTCTATTCAATCAGAAACGAATTATTCCAAGGGGTTGCTCTAGAAGTCTTGCAAATTGACGGTTAATTCATATTCAGGGGAGGGACGTGATGGTCCACTGTCTTGACACAGTCTGCATCGGCTGCAAATAGTGGGTAACGTGAACCATCCGGCCAGTCGGCGATAGTCGAGAATGACTCTTCCAGTGAACTGAAGAGACGCACCGACCAAAGGACACTGAATGTGGACAGGGAAAAATATTGAAACTTTATCGGAATGCCATTCGATAGACGCTAATCCCAAGTCACCAGGTGTACAACGGGATGTGAGCAGTTCAACGATAAACTGCTGAGGCCCCGAAAGGAATGTGGGCGACATCTTCACAACACATGCATCTTCTAGGGTTCCCAGTGAAACTGCCCACACTAGCGTATTTGGAGCATCATCAGAAAAGATACTATCTTGCCCATTTACCATTCGTACTCTATGAGCGATAACGATGTTCCAAGCTCGGTGGCTTCCTCACTGCGCAATGAGAGGAAGCATCTGGAGTGAAAATTCCACAGTCAACTAAACTGTACGGTTGTGCTTGGACTTCGTTCTGCAAATGAGCGGTTTTTCTGACGCTTAGCAGAGTCGTGTAGCCTGATCCGCTGAAAGTGTTAAACAATGCGATGGTATCAATACTTCGCATTTTTCATTGGACTCCCGATTTTCCAAAGTCCGATGTTGAAATAACTATATTATGGCGCGCAGTCGGTCATTGTACACAATTTTCGCAGTATGGATAACAAAAACACGCGGAAATCCCCTACCGGACAGTTATTTTAGACACAGTAGTTCGTGAAATGAGGTGTTTCGGGTTGTCATCCAGGACGTAGTGTCACGATATCTCCGAACCGACTGGGCACAAGTTCACGATGGTTCAGCGTTAACTATATCACATTGTCCTAATGCTTCAGAGGCAACCTTTGTCACTTAAAAATGTACCTCTGTCGGACACTCAGCCAGAGGAGTGGCTACCTGGAGTGCTGTTCACCTTGTTTCCTCAACAGCGGACAGCTTTCAATGTAACCCAACTTAGATGGACTTCCTAGTAGAAGTGAATGCTTCCATGTTGTTCTATGTTTGGGATATGGTCTTTACTTTCCTCCTTCTCGTATTCTCACTAATTTAACCCCAATGTGTCAAAAAAACACCGCATATACCAATTACATTTGTTCGTAGCTATTTATATAAACACTTATGAGACTCCGTTAGGACGTATTTTTCTCGTGATCAGTTAACTTTGTGGTTCATAATCCAGTCCAAAAGTTTGGTAGTACCCCGGATTGTGCAGACCGATCACGTGAAGTCAGGGTGCTGGTAACATCAGTACTCACCTAGAGGATTTGGGAATCTTCAACACAATCAAGTGGGAGCTATCGAAAACATTCGCAGAATTTAGTCGACCTAGAATAGAAGGCCCTGAAGGAGATATTTGTTCTACCAAGAGCAAACACCATTGAGGTGTTATGGTGCCCCCTAGGGGTTTCCCCCTACATGGAGGACCATACTACTGGACTTTGGGATTGGATCGAAGCAATAGATTGCAGATGACAACTCAGCAGCAATACTGTTGAGTGAAACGACTGTGGCATACTACTATACGGAGCGATTCACAGAGGCGACGATGAAATAGTAGCGGAGAATTGAACCGCTCTTTCACATTAGCGTCCTTATTTCCTTGTGGAGGGCAATAGGAAATAGGTTCAGGGATTACCACTATAAACAGTGGCGTTTTTTCGATCGTGGCACTGCTTCTTACGACTCAGTATTTGACCGTTTGTTATTGAGAGGCAGAAAAAACATCTGGCGATAACTAAGCGAACAAACGAGTTTCCGATTAACAACCCAGTTCAGGAGGTTATCGCGCTAGACTCATTAGACATTTACTATATTTTAAGCTAATGAACATAGTTCAGCGAACAGCTGTCTCCAATTGCAAGCTTTCAGGCTGTGCGCTTGTAAAATAACACCGGAAAAATGTTATCCAGAGGATTTGACAGAAGATGCATGCAACTCAACTCTGAATCCACGAAAAAAAGGTTGCAAAAAGGTTGCTCAATGATCAGCTCATCTGCAGAATCGACGATGTCAGGGTTGGCCACATCGTGGAAAGGCCATAAGGCTAACAATATCGCCAGCACGACATGCGAATGTGAAGAACAGCTGCCAATCCGCAGCGCACGTACGATGAACTAGTCGTTTACTTGTGATCGTATGGTTAGGATCCTAACTGCCTTAGAGCGTGTTTCCGAAAACTGGTCAGTTTAAACTGAGGCCACCTAATGGAAAGACATTGGATCAAACCATAAAATGCATTTGCGGTTTAAATACTCGACCGAAAGAGGCGCAATGGGCACATTGTGCTTCCTATCGGTCAGATAAGGTAGCTAGAATAGTTGAATCAAGTCTCACTTGAACTGAGCAACACAGTTTACCTAAAAACTGACACATTGGATGACCTTCTGACAAGTTGGTGTGCTCAAAGAAAGCGGTAGGCCATGGGCCGTCAGGTATCTTTTCCAGAACCTAGATTCTCACCAACTTAGGGAAATCAACAGGATTCACTGCACTGCAATAATGAGTTACACGTTTAGTCGACATGGTTGTGTGTTCTCAGGATCGGTTCACTTATCGATCGATGAGCTGTGATATAGGCGACCGCAGTGGAACTGGGCACGTGACCAGCATCAAAGCATACGGGTTTTAGCGCTCAGACATGCTAACTCAGCATACTAACGAGTACGAAAACTAACGACGGTAATGGGCTGCCCGCGACATCAAAATTGTCCTCAGAACAGAATCTCACATGCAGGTTTCCAACCAACCACAAGCTAAAACGCTCTCCCGAAACCCTGAGGGGAAAAGAATTTGAAAACGGTGAATCGGACTGGGTTCTCCTTGCTTTGTACATTGGACAATTAAAACACGGGTAAGCGACATACATAATAGGGAAAGCGGTATGTGTATTGTTGGGCACCTGGTTTGTATAATACCTATTGCGCGGATGTTTAGCTTTGGTGTTAAGGAGGAGCCGACAACAACAGTTTGTCATACATGGGTTAGGGGATAGACTGCTGAGGCTTTGGCAGATCTGAGAACGAATCGTCACATAGACACAGGTCGCACATCAAAGGAATCGTTGAGAAGAACAGGATAAACCATCTGCTGATGGGGGATGAATGGCAGACTGCTTGAAGGAAAAATAGGCTGTACACATGTGCATCAATGAACTGGCACGTACTGTAGTTGAAAGAAAAACCGAAGTTGTGTCCAGTCAAAGGCAGCAGCTGCTGAATACGGAAAGGAGAACGATGAGAAAAGGATAAGGAAAATGACAAAGACCGTGGATGACGGAGGATACGCGAATAGTGATGGAGAGGTCATCTTGACTCAGTTGTAGGTTCACGGTCACTCAGACGGGTGAGACAGACCAAGAAAGTGCGAAATTCACCGAGAAAATTCTGCTCTGGAACACTTCATGACGATTGTAGGCAGCTTGCATGAGGAAAAACCAATATCGTCAGCATACACGGTTTTGGGTGGCATCTTTGCGGCGGGTAGAGTTACGTCGAGTCACTGGTTGGACGGTATCCTGTTTCAGATAAAATAGGAAACAACCATTTGAGGCTATGCCGAGAGACAGCTTCGAAAAGTAGTCAAGCTGAATAGTGCTATGTGGACCATTAGTGCTCGAAAAATGAAAACACCCGGTGAGTTGAATGCAGTGGAGAGTAGAAGGGTGTTAGTAGTGACAATACGTGAGTGTACGTCGAGAGCCTTACCTCATTAATCCATTTCTGGTCGGTAAGGGCGAAAGACCTTTACAAAGAGACAAGTTCAACAACGTGCGTATTTTCATAACCATAAAGAATTTATCGGGATTACTGTGGATGCGAATGCCCGAGTTCAATTATCTGCCGTGGCTAAGTGCACAAACAACCGGAAAGAACAGCCGAACTATTCTTTACAAAAGGAATCAAATGCTCCGGTAAGAGCGTAAGTAGTAGTAAAACAGCCATGGTGTCCTGCTGTCAAAATCGCCAAGGGACCATGCAAACGTTGAGACCAGACACTATCACAGGGGATGAAATAATGAACCTCTTCCTCTAAAGAAGATTTCTCCGAGACGTTTCGGAACCAATTCTCTTTACACTGTCTGGAAAACAGAACTTAGCAACCGGAAGAGTCAATGTCTTCAAGGATCAAAACATTTTGCCGGTCGTCAAGGTGTCTAATCAAGGAAGAGACACCCATTCTCCGAGGAGGAGGGGGTCATTTAGACTAACAATTGGCGGGTGTTAGGATGGAAATCCGTACAGGGACCGCTACGCACCTTGGACCCAAAACCGTGTCCGGGATGGTTATCGGGATGGAAAGCTGAGGACTCATACCACTATCGTTGACATGGAGCAAATTGACCTATCGTAACTGAAAGCTCATAGGTGCCCCAACCAAATTCCGGGAAAACATCTCAACAGTGTGTAAAGCCCCGTGTCATCGGCTACTCGTGATAGTTTACCTTCAATGACATCAATAGTCTGAGAAAAATAGGGATGGATGGTGAATGAACAAAAGGAAACCTAGCTGCGGTAGTGTCCAATCTGGATAGGATTAAGAGCTTCAAAGCAAGCAACTAACCAAAGCAGTCATTAGTGACACCCTTTTCAAAAGACACAAAAATCCAAACCAAGAAAAGTTCCAGCATGTCTAATCCACGAAGGAAGCAAGAAAGTGGATTTGAGCTGCGGATCCCTCGAGCACTAGCTAGGGCTCGAATATGGTAGTGAGCGGTTAAGAAACGGTGCAACCGATTGTGCACCATATTTGCGTTGATTGGCTTTAGTTATTATACGCTCCCGGGACGGCATCGGTCGGCCGAAAATCAGGATCAGCCAGTGTGGTCGAGACGAAGTTATGTTAACCCTTTTCAAAAGACACAAAAAATCCAAACAAGAAAAGTTCCAGCATGTCTAATCCACGAAGGAAGCAAGAAAGTGGATTTGAGCTGCGGATCCCTCGAGCACTAGCTAGGGCTCGAATATGGTAGTGAGCGGTTAAGAAACGGTGCAACCGATTGTGCACCATATTTGCGTTGATTGGCTTTAGTTATTATACGCTCCCGGGACGGCATCGGTCGGCCGAAAATCAGGATCAGCCAGTGTGGTCGAGACGAAGTTATGTTACACTAGCTGATGAGACAACTGCAAGAACTCGATCAACCAAAAGACACAAGTGGAACTGGGAACAACTTAAAGAACACGACTAATTGATCAGAAATCATCCGTAAACATACATCATGGGATCACAACATTGGTTCGCCTCTCCTCAGCCACAAATTACACATCGAAGGCGAGCAAAACAAAGTGCGACAAAGTGGAGCTGACTTAGTGATGCCAAACTTCTTTTGCAAACAAGCCACTGAATACATTTAAAAAACTCGTTTGGTTTGCTGCTGTGACTGGAATCCTAAAGTTCTGACCATTTATGACGCCTCTTTATCAGAATTCACCACATGGTATTGTGTGCACAGGAGGTTTTCAATCAAAACATATGGCTGCCGTGGATTTTGACGCATTCAGTATATCACCTGCATATTTGATGTCTCGCTGTTGAGGGGATTTAGTACATGCGTTGTTTTCCGAAAATTCGCTTAGGCTATTCATCACGTGCGTTTATGAAGATGCACCGCAGACTCCTACACCTATTCGATCTGCTATCATGCAGCTCAGCGAACAAACCAACGTCGGCATATCCGGTCATTTAGCTTACGTAGCAACTACACACAGGGACATCTGCAACCAGATTAAGCTAGAGAATCTGCACCTCCGAAATGTTGGTCTTCGGTATAGCGAAATACGCTCACAACAAATATACCATCGCAATTAGGGTAATTGTGTGATTTCTCATCATCCCACCTAACCGCACTGTGCCGATTAAAGTGACACCTCAATTGGATATGAACCATATAGGCTATGAATCCAAGCCTGCCTATCAAAATCAACCTCCTCGGAAGCCATCTTGCCCGATCCTCTCTGCAACTGTTAGGACTTCTAGTAAAACGAGTCGATGGGTACTAAACTGACATCTGTTATGCGGGGTTAGCTAATGATTACGTATTTTTCATGGAAAGTGGTCATTTAAATAAAACTGAAACCTCAAGGCTTTTGAACGGTAATAGTCGACTAGGCGCATGGTTACCTGAACTCCCGCAAGCTCGATCGATTAAATAAGGCTCGGCAATCAGGATCTTGGCAAAACGGCGTGGGGGTAAAATCGCACAGTAACCTGAGATGAAAGGATCAGTTGGGACGGATATTTCAAGACCAGTAATTTGAAAGTTGTCTAGCGCGACCTTCCGTGATACAATGCAATGATGTAAACGATCATAGATATCCTCGAATCCCTATAGGAATGTGCAGACCACTCGAAAGCCCGCACTAGTGATAGCTGGCCTTGATGCTTTTTTGGCGAATATTATCTATGAATGCCAACGAAAGAGAAAGTACATCGAACTATTAGTGGAGACGGCAGGAGTTTGACGCGAAGTAGTGTCAGAGTTTGTCGTTTAATGTGGCGTGGGTCTGGGTCTCACGGAAGTAACTCAGTATTATTTGCTTTAGGTCATTTCAATGGAGTCACGTAAACGAAAGAAGTTATAGCTAACTAGGTTGCTCATAGATAAGCACGATTTATGTCAAGACTAGAAGACTCGGGAAAAACGTCCGACCTGAGGAATGCGATATAGTTCAGATATCGTCTGTATGCATCTGTGTGTGCTTGCCAAGGATAATCTTCAATCCAAACAATGGATACGTTCGGGCGCAATCTTCAATCGTTATAAACAGCTCAGCGACTAAGGTGTGAAACTAATAACTGAGTTCGTGGTCCGAACTCAATCCTAGCATTTCTAGCTAGATTTAGGTATCCTGGTGGTATCTCAGGTCTCCTGCCTCCTTCCAGTTGCACGAGAGCTAGGCACCGAAAGATTACAGAGGCTGAACGATTAGTATTACTGTTCATTATTGGTGTGTCCTGACTAACGAAACTGGGGCGGCTTCAGATATGCGGATTTCGTGTTGCAGTATACGGACACCAAATCTTCTCTTGTCCACAGCTATCCACAGAAAACTCACCTCAAAAAGTGCACAACCAGTGCCTCGTTTGAGCCTTAAAGATTAACATAAAACAGCGTCCAGTAAGAAGTACACCCAAAATGGGCCAAAACCCTGATAGGTTCACGTAGCTTAGTACACGAATCGAAATAGGAAGGGAGTGAATCATTGGAGTGTAGCGGCCCAATTTAGTCAGCATACCCATCAGTGCCACACTCTTACATACATAAACATGCACACACACAAACACACAGGGTCTTGCACCACCGAGCGGGATGCACTCCAATTCAGCTTCTCCAGGATAATCCATGCACATACATAAGGCACGCATTTACCGAATGTTTGGCAAACACAAGGTCAGAATCTGTACCAAATGCACAAGCGTACGATCGATTACAGATAGATATTGCGAGGTACGCGTCATGCAACAAAACGAAGGTGTCGTGCAGCAAAGAACAGCGCTAGGCCGCTACCTAGTTGCGGGAACTGACACGACCTGCCGCAGTAGAGACGGGAGTTACGGCGGGGTTCATTACCAATGGTGATGGCATGTTTAAACGCGGAGTGGAAGGAGACCCCGGAAGATTTGAGTAGGCAGACGGAAGTGAGTTGGTCCGCACGGGTTTTGGAGGAGCAATCATCCTGAGATAGGCCTGGTAGCCGAAGGGGAACGAGAGATTGTTTATAACTGGACGAAATGATGGAGAATGTCATAGTGGCTCGAAAGGTGCAGGGTCTGGTCGAAGCAAAAAACGGTAAGCCAAGATTCGGTGTATTTGTATGCACTTGTGTGTCAGCCGGATAGCTGTTCCATTCAACTCTGCTTAGCAAGTAGAAAAGCCGAAACAATGACCTGCTGAAGAGTTGACCTCCCTTGAGATCGAACAAAACGATTCGAGTTTCCGAGAAATTATTTCCTATATTTCTTAAACGGTATCGTTCCTATAATAGACATGCTTCAAGACTACGCCTCGTGGCATTTTTCTAAGGCAAGATGCACATAATAACTACCGATGGTTACTCACTGCTCGTCAACTGACTATAATTAAACCTGAGTGTTCCTTCAAACTGAATTCTCATGCAGAAAGCTTTGGAAAGCAAACACCGTAAAGTTCCAAATACATAATCAACAAGTTCCACCAGTCATTTCAAGTTACAGCACTGTATCGGGTGTAAATGACTACACAGCCAACACAAACACGTTTGTCCGTGCAGTATTAAACCCGACTTACTCTGACCCGGTCAAACAGCATGTGTAAACAAACGGAGTAGCTGGAGTAACTGAGGGTTTACTTCCAACTTGTAAAGGTGTACTGAGTTTTGCGATAGGTTTTTTGCATGCTTTTGCTATCATTGACGTGTAAGTCTAATTGTCGGCTGCTATGCAGTCTCCACGATGTATTCCACATGCGTAATCCGCTTGATCTCTGATTTCCGAATCCCAGGATGCAGTATTCACATGGATAAACAAACGGCACGCAACTTCTCAGCTTTACCCTTGCATTATGGGATCTACTAAGCGTGAACCTCTCTGGAAAGAAAGTCCATCTCACTTTCTTGATCTGTAAGATGACACCAAAGTAGGAGCAAATGAACACGTCAACGCACGCATCCGAAACTACCACTTAATTCGTCCGACACGCCAGCTACACGAATATGTTTTTCACGAGGATGAGGCACTTTGAGAAGTCCTGACGGGAGTCTCAAGTCTTAGCAGGTATTGGTCCGAATACATTGTATGCCAGTGAATCCTATCTCATTGGACACGCCATGTAAGTGTCAGTGATGAATGCAATAAACCTGTCCTTCTGATTCTATCCAGTACCGGAACAATTCCTGGACATGTATATAGTTCAATATCGGAAACCTGGAGCCATCTTTTGTATTTCTTCACGCAACATTCATTTTTGTGCATTAGCTCCCCTTTTCCCCACAAGATGTGGTTGTCCTCTCATCTCATAAGGTCAGCTTTAAACCTCTGAATTAATCCTATTAAGTTTGCACTGAATATTGCGACCCCGGAAAGACCAAATCACAACTCGGACAACTTCCGGAGGAATACTGTAGTCGGAGAGGGAAAACCTATCCCGCTTGGTTTGTCACACGCACCAATGGGTGTGGCATAGAGTAAAAACTATTTCAAGGGAGGCAAATTTCACTCACGGTAATACCGAATGGTGATGGTGACACAATTTTTATGCAGCCGACCGCCATGTGAGCGGTCAAATTTCGGCACCGAATGAAAACAACATATTCTTCACCTCCAGGGCGGTGTGTAAATGAGGAGCAGTTTGTTTATTTCCACAACCTCCGCTAGCATGAAATATGCTCACTGCCTATTCCTGTAAACCATTTTGGTTTACAGCGAAGAATGGACGTGCAAACGGATGAGAGGTACGCATCATTTCGATTGGAAGAGATGCACTAGTGCATCTGGTGTGGGACCTCCAGGAATGTGGAAGATGACAAGGAGCGGTCAAATCCAAAAACAACCTGATATTATACTTGAGCCTAAAACAAGGGACAAGCAATCGAAGTTGAATCCGGCATTCCTAAAATCACGACCAAGACTTTATTAAAAGGCACCCGTCCCTGTAAATACAGGGCCANCAAGGGACAAGAAATCGAAGTTGAACCCGGCATTCCAAAAATCACGACCAAGACTTTATTAAAAGGCACCCGTCCCTGTAAATACAGGGCCAAATTGCTGACAACTTCTAAGCGTCCGCATGCTTGTTAGAAAGAAACATATAAGCATATATCTCTTAAACCCAAAACATGAGAAAAAACTAGAAAAGACTGCCATCAGTTTCTGTCTGGTGAAATCTACAACTACGGCATACCTAATCAGGTCTTACCACAGCACGATTTTCACAGATGGATCGGTAAAGTGGTGGAAGCCGCGTGGCTTGTTTCAACAGTCGTTTGTGCCAGGTCTCAAAGAGCTGATGATCAAAAGGGTGAATTCGTGAATACTAACAACACAGGTCTGCGTGTGACTTTGCTCAACCATTTGATATAACACATCAACCTACCCAAATAAGAATCAAACGCTGGAAATGCCATGTTGATTACAGAACCACATTCCAATAGATACTTAACGTCCCCAGAGACGTATAGACAACACAGTCATGACACGGCTTGAACGACGGCCAAATTTCAGCGGTCAAGTAGGGTGGCCGCACTAGACAGAGGTAATGGAGCTCGCTATATGAATGATCGCGCAAGTTTAAAAGCGGTAGCCACTGATGAGGTGGGGAAAAGAACATACCTGGGCAATATTAGCTGGTCGTCTTTGGCTTCTCACATCTCGAGAAACTTCTTCATGCGGATGTTCTGCATCTTCTGGCACGCCGCTCAAACCTAGTCAGACAGATGGAACAGTTGGGAAAATGAAAAACTTCAACTAAATGCTCAAGAGGAGCTGAGATAAAGAAAGACTGTTGTGAATACCCAACCATGACAATTCCTCTCGACTTTAATATATCGGGACATGTAATGGGACGAAGTGACAATATTAGCTAAATTCACAGACTGAATCACAATCTGATGCACAGTCGTGGTACATCCTTCTACATGGCAGAGCGCTGAGCTTCATAGGTTGACTTTGGCTAGTCAGAGAATGAATTCTCCAGCTGTGCGTGACCTACGTGCCGGATCTGTGAGCAATTAGAGTGAGTAACACGCCTAAGAACAGACTGAGACCGTGATGGAAACTCGCAATTGAACCGTGCGTGCCGGCTCCTTAAGTGAGGCAATCGCAGAAGCAAGCAGCAAGATAAATACACAAGTCCAAACATTCACTTGTAAGCAGAAACCGGAGAGGTAAGCAATGTTGAGGTTGATTAACTGTATCATCGACAGACATGTGATACATGACACCCAGCCTCCAAGGCAAGCACAATGGGATAGCGAAATTGAAAGGATGACAGCATAGCCATTCCGTGTTAGAGCAAGTGGGGTACAGGGATTAGAGGATTGTCACCTTAATCCGTAGTCCGATTCATTCCAGGTCAAACAAAAATTAAACATTTTTGTAAAAATCGATCTATAATGAAGTGTCATTTTGTGGAAATTCCCGATAGGGCATTCAGCGTTCGAAATACATTCGATTGATGCCAAAAGATCTCCAATGGGAGAACTTTCCTCTTCTGAAGGTAAATAAAATAAGCATTACCCGCTTAGCTTCTGCTGGTAAAATACAACGCATATGTCGATAGCTGTGTACAACAGCTTTCCTCAAGCGAATGATGCAGGCGAACCGAACAAACCTTAGTCCTTTTCATACCTGTAGCTGAGACATGGAACTGGGGCAACATGGTGACCCAGAACAGTGATGCAACTGCCTAACTGGAATAGAGTAAAAGAAATCTGTTCGAAAGTGTAGGATAATGTAACAACAACTTCAATTCTATCACTTGGCCACATTCCTTACTACCATGACTCTCCGTCCGTGTCGCAACTACCCGCTACATTCAAACAACTAGACCCTTGTCACTAAGTAGTTAAACTAACGGTAGTGTGGAGAAATCTGCCAATGACACTGATTATTCAGCAAGACGGCGGGTCGACATGAGGAAGATTCCCGTGTAAAACTTTCGTGCTGAAAAGTTAATTCACAAAATGCTTCTCCTTCCGAAGTTCCACGTTGACACCATCGTAGAAACACGGTTCCGTTTATAAAGCTGTCGTCGGGTGAAAAATGTGTTAACAATGGAAGACCTCTTAAGAATGGGCTTGATTCCGCCAGTTCGTGCGTGGATCATATGGTTCAGTGAAATTAAACCTGCGTGAACCGACTTGATCGAACTATATTTTGTCACCGTACCCCTTCCCTACATATCATGAGAATATTGACCGTTGCACTGAGTGCAGTAGCCATCAAGAAAAATCCAGGTTTTCGGCACATAAAATACTTATATATGCAGACTCAGTGCGTCAGTTAGCCAATGGCAACTTGGGACAGTGTCGAGACAATAGGCTCGGGTACCACCTGACAGTTGCATGAGTGAGGCGTAGCAAAAAACTTATCCATGTGGAGATGGCTAACTTTTATTTTCAACCGGAGACCAGTATCTACTTGGGATTTGCGCCAGCTAGAGTGACTTCATTAAGAGGATGAATCCTCAAATGGAACTGAATTTTTCCGAACTCATTTTTTATCACGGAGTCGACTTTTAACAGAACGCATGCAAGAAGGCCTGCTTCAAGTTAAGCCTATACACTAGTTACCAGGACTATGTTTTTTGTTTAAATGTCTTATAAGATAGTAACACTTGATCGCGTTAGCGGCAGGCATAACAACAGCTCGAGAGATAAGGCTGGTTTTCACTCAGCAATAAACACCGAATGAAGAGAACAACCGTATTCAACCCAACTTAACCGGGTTGCGCCAATTAGTGGAGACCGACGGTGAGTTTCACTTAGAGCTGATCTAGGAACCATATCATCGCAGCAGCAATAAATACCAACCGGAATAAATTCGCTGTGGGCACCTAGGCCTGCATGAAACAATGAGAACGAAATAAATGAAGTTCGAATATAGGCCGAATAACGCAATAAATTACCGGGGACTCCGTGGAGATTTGTTCGTGCACAGTGTAATAATAGTAATGCCTCAGCTCAGTTTTCGGTCTGATCCCCCTAACCTAGCGTGTTCTCCAAAAGAACCACTAGGGTGCATAGATTGTATTAAACGTACATGTACAGCCAATCTTACTTAAAGGGTACGCAACGACAATATTCTGGAAATTCCGATGCCTTGTGGACACGTCAACGGCAACCGGAATTAAGCAGTTGTCGAATCATGATTGGGTGTTGGGTTCCCAATTTCGACCAACACTAAGCGGTTCACATAGGGCTCCAAAACGATTGCTGCGACTACAGTATCCTCTGGTTCTGGCCTGCTTGAATCAATGAGATGCATCAGTGCGCCGGTCTGTCCGAGGCTGATGGTGAACTGCTTTACACTCTTGAAGTCGTATCCCAGAAGCAGAGTAGCACATTACTCGAGACGGCTGATGACATATACCAAACACAGTACGGAACGGCTCGTGACCGATCAGTAAGGTAAACGGACGGACGTAGAACATTTTAGGAAATTTTTGACGGCAAACACGTTCGCCAAAGCTTCTTTTTCTATCCGACTGCAGTTGCGCTCGACTAGTGTCTAATTTCTTTCTGGTTTCCGTTGGCGAATATACGTGAAATCACTGCACCAACGCCAACGAAGCATCCGATACCACAACAATTTCAAGTGACATTGTACTGGGTGAGAAGCAAATCGAAGGTCAGCATGGGTTTGATCGAGCCAAAGACGCTTTGGTATTTTTCTGACCATGCCCATTTTTGGCTTTTGGTGAGCAGCTGGTTCGGTGAACCTCAGATGCGATATATGACAAGCGGAAGCGAACTATAGTGACTGACGAGACCGACGAGAGACCTGAGGGATAGTAACTGTGGGTGATGGCATGCATTTGATCACGCAGATGTTCTCCGGTTTCAGTCAGTGATGCAATTGTCACAGCTTATCGACCGCAGAACTTTTCTCGGTGCATTCTGAAGCCATACTCTTGAATACTACCAAGAATGTAATCAAGGCGCTGTTACAATCACTCGGGTTAGGAACCCAAGATAATGAGATCGTCCAAATGGACAGCAACATCAGGGCATCCTTCAGCACCGTATCCATGATCTATTGAAGTACGTCTGGCGCTGTCATGACGCCAAACGGCAGTCGGGTATACTGCAAAAGAACCCAGTGCGTACTGATGGTCAAATGTTCTATGGATTCCTCGATTTAGAGATAGGCCTCGGCCAAAGCCATCTTCGCAAAACATTTACCCCATTCTGCGAACAAGTCGTCTGGAAGAGACAGAGGGTACTAGCGGGTATTTAGGGCAGCATTGAGACCAATGGAGAATCCTTCAGGCAAGCGGATAACCTTGTTAGCCTCCTCTACCATTACGATCGGTGGGGCCCATGCCGAGTAGTTGGTCAGTTGGAAAACACCGGCCTTCTGTGGTCGGTCCAGTTCCTGGTCAACGATGGGCAATGTTGCATTACGGTACACGGTGCTTCGTCCTGAAAACCGGTCTGACATTGGGCAGGAGGCACAACCTGGTTTTCGCTCCTGTGAACAGTCCAAGTCCGTCGACGAACATGGGTGCACAGTTTTGCAGCAGGTCCTCGAGTGAAGGCTTTGAAAGAAGAATTCGCTCAATGGAACGTCCGAGTGATGCGCGGATGGGATTGCAAACAGAATTGACCGGTTTCTCCAAGATTCAGCTAATCGGTCCCATGAGATAAAGCTTGAGTCACGGCGTGAGATAGCACGTTTCTCGGGCCGTCGAGCCGTTAAAGGTTACGAAGCAATCAACCTCGCCAATCAAATTAAGCTTGCCCCAGAAGCGTTGAGGGCCCACGATACAGTCGGTTTCATAAGCAGCTTACCAATTCGTTTCCAAGTTCGTTTACTGAGCAGCGTGATCCGGGAGCCCGTATCAAGCTACAGAAAAAGTGGAGCGTTGTTGATACGAAAAGCCCTTTCGGAAAGCAAAATTAAAAGCGAATGTCGCAGTCACAGATTCGGACTACGATTTAGGGGCTGCACGGCGGTGTGGTGGCGGCTGAGAGATCTCAGATCGATATAAATCTCATTTGTGCCCATGACAACTGCACATGGGATACCTGAACCAGCAATAACGAGCGAAATACCACTCACCACAATATCAGCAACTTGTGGGAGGCCTTCTATGTTTTCCACTGGGCTAGCTGTCTGACTTCCTTGAGTGGCTGCAGGCGCTTGCGTGGACACAGCTGCGGGAAGTGGCAAGTGACTGACCGATCATAGCCGTGTTGTGCTTCAGGTTGAAGAGGTATCGGTATGCGGTAGTAAGACTCTGAAAATTCATATCAGCATCCTATTCAATTCTGTGAAGCAGCCGGGTTCTGATGTCTACATCTTGGGACAACTAGATGTATAAAACTCAGGCACTTGAACTAAACCTCCGTCACTGAGCTGAGCCTGAAATGCTCGCATTCCTGACTAACAACGGCAATGTGATGAAATCGTCATAATCTTTTTTTACCAGCTTGAGGCACTGCTAACATTGATGTTCGATTACCGAATATGTGAGTGTTCTGACTGTTTCATCACAAATGAGGTCAAATTGAATAGAGTGAAGTTTGCACACTCTCAATGCTCCGGCGCATCCAGTTTCCGCAGGAACAATCCGATTTGACATCCACCGCCGAACTCGGAAAAAGCAGTATAGAACACATTTTCGCACCGCTTGAAGCAGGAGTCAAAAGTGTGACCAAATAGAGGGTCAAATGTGAACTTCACGATTGAGGCCGCGCCTGCACCAGCTGAACAGAAGGTTTACTGGTCCTGACCACTGGTGTTTGGACATGCAGTCTCTGAGCCAGTCATTCGATGCACTTCAGTTAAGCTTCTTCAAATTGGTTTTGCTGCTGTTGCACTAATTCTCGAAGCTGATTAAATTCGACAGAAATCGTGGGTCTTTGTTCGCCGACCGCATTAACAGTAATACTTCAGCTCAGCTCTCAATCTGATCCTCCGAAGATAGCGTTTTCGACAAAAGAAACACCGAGGGTGCCCAAATTGTACTAGATGCTGAAAACAAGATATGTACAACGCGTCATATTTGAAGTGTGCGAAGCAATTTTGGAAATTCTAACGCCTTGTGGATGCGCCAGTGGCAACCGGCATTCGGCACACACTGAATCACGATTGGCCGTTGGGTCCCCCATTTCGACCAGTCAAACCTCACCTTGATGCTGGACCGGCAAGCGCCCGGTCATCCAATCACGTGCAGGTTGTTTCTTGTCCGTAGTAGCACCTTACTACGAGTGGTTTTCGTGCAGGGTTCCGTCTAACAGACAGCAAGACCAAACTGCGTTTAGGGGAATTTTCTGAAGGATATAAAGATTTTGGTTTTTGTTGTCTAGAAGAAAATCGCTGTACCACAGTTGCAATCAGAAAAGGCTGTTCCACAGTCTCGTCCTAAAAGGTGAACGTTGGGATTCCGGCCTACGCTAATAAAGCTCAATGAAGTGGTTGACAGACAATCACACACAACGGACTACGAAGCATACAGCACAAAGTGGTGTCCAGGTGAATAAGTTCCTCTGCAAAGGTGCCTCCGCACGCGCCGGTTGGTCTGTCCGTATTATAATGCTGTTACTAGTGTGGATCTGTGGAAGGCGAAATAGGTTTGTGGTGCATGTAGTTGGATTCTGCCCCCAACAAAAAATTCCATGCTAGAGAAATTAAAACAGAAGCCACGGGACTGAATATTGCTTGTTTTGCTAATGAATCCTGTACAGAAGGTGGATATCCTTGACAGAGAGTTTCACACAAAAGCACCAAGTCAGTGGCACAAAAATACCATCAGAACCCATGGAAATGTTCACTGTGCTGCCCCGAACTCAAACCAAATACTTCATCCATTGGCTTACCACCTTCGGGATTGTTGGGAGCTTCTATTGTATAAGGTGGTTTCAGAGATAGTGCACACAAGGAGTCCCAATCCAGTTCTGCAAAAAACCTATGTCTCTTAATGTCCAGAGCCCCACGTAACATACAACCATAACGTTTAGAGCGGTCCACTTCTAACAAATTCCGAATCAATTCACGTGCAGCCTGACTGACCAAAGGCCCAGGGGCGAATTTATAACGTGCGCAGGCAATCCGGTCATACATTATCCGTAGATTTGTTGTATAGAACGGGGTCACTCCGGACAACATTTCGTATAGTAATACTCCGAAAGACCACCAATCGGCCGACTGACCGTATCCAAGATTCATTATCATTTCCGGAGGGATGTATTCAGGGGTACCGCAAAACGTATAGGTCCGCTTGGGAACGAATTTGGAAAGACCAAAGTCAATCATCTTTACGTAGCCGTTCGAACACAGCATCACGTTCTCTGGCTTCAAGTCCCGGTACAAAATGTTTAAACTGTGCAAATAGTCTAGGGCCATAAAGATTTGAGCGGCATAGAACTGAGCAGCTGGCTCGTCAAAACGCTGGTGTTTGCGGAGTAATTCAAACAGATCACAGCCAGCCACGTATTCCAGAACAATGTGTACGTCAGTCGAATCTTCAAAAGTGGTACACAACCGAATAATAAACATAGATTTGATACGATGCAATAAAGTCCTTTCGCGATCGGCTGCCACCGTCTGTCGACGGCTAGCTAAATTTGCCTTGTTCATCGATTTGAGCGCATACAACTCGTTGGACTGACGGTCACGAATCAAGTACACAGAGCCAAATGACCCCTTGCCAAGAAGCCTCAGGACCAAGAACTGGCTGCTTCTGACGTATGGTTTCACAGCAGCATTGCCCTTAACCGTAGTGTCTGCGCATGTGGTTTGTACGGCTGTCCGTGGAATGGAAGACGACTGATTTCCGCAGGAGTCCACCGCAGTGTACGGTGTACGTGTACGACGGAAAATACGCAAAACATATTCCGGCAACTTCATTCTAAGTGCGGTTAGAATCTATGTACTAGGATCATCACACAAATGATGGTATAATGAAAACAGCCGCTACAAAGAGATTCTGATCGATGCACCTTTCGACCCGAACTAATGGCGACGTCACGTAGTTGACGTGATACCTGTCCTGAGATACGGACAGACATCGACTGAGGTAGAATGACACGCCAGGCACAAGGTAAGACTAAGGACAGTAATTACGAAAACTCGGCAGCACCAAAGTATTGCAGAACCATTAAGTATGACATGCGAGATGGCAAATGTAAACTTCGAGTAGGTGCTCTTGCGCTCAAATTCACATTGTGATATTAGGAAAGTTTGCAAGCCCCAGCTGAATATATTAGCAAATTTGACTGTAGGATCATATGATTGTATTTACTCTATAATCGTTAGCATAGAAGTAAGGAACAAACCAAATATCATTAGTAGCGGGAGCAAAAAAGCGTATGTGCTCACAAGTACACAACGAAGCGGGGAATAGCTCAGTTGGGGGCGGTCATACAAAATGTAGTGGAACTCAGGAATTCGTCCAACCTGTGCCAAATCTGGACAATCATACACTATTCGATAAGCGAACGCTCTGCAACCCATGCTCAACACACTTGCGAATGCGTGGCCATTTTTAAAATAACCAGTTAAAATAAAACTGACGGTGTCCAGATGGGGCACGATACAAGACAGGGCTGTCATGCAACTAATCGATGAAGAGCAGAATGATTACTACTATGACAGCCATCTTCTTCAAAACTTTCGACTCATTTTCTCAAAGTATTCACATTAATTTTACATCCTGGATTTCACCATCCCGACACATTTTATTAGTCGATCGTGACTAGGCAAAAAGTGAAAAAGATATACCATGAGCTCAACAAGTGAGCAGAATTTGATTCGATTCCAGTTCACCTTGCTATCTCCACTACCGAACGATGGCAGGACTCCACTGAACAGTTGGCAAAAAATTCAGCACTCAATAGTAACGTGATGCAAACGATGTAAGTGATGGGTGGAAGCAATGACTCCTGGATGTTGCGTGCACTAGTAATCACACACAGGGAATAGAAACAGAGGAAGTGCATTGGTCCTAAACCAGAATGAAATGAATGTTAATAAACCCTATCTGCAAAGTTATGACACGTGTCACCATTTATCATCACCGACACCGGAGCAAAGTTAGTGTGCGGGAAGAAATTAAACCAACTGAGAGTGATTTGGCTACTTTTATGGTCATGTTCAATCCCACAAGGTTGCCGCATTCAGACAAAGGTGCGGCGTTCCACGAAAAGCGTGTCTGTTCAGAGCAAGGGAAGTACAGGAAATCAAGAAGTGCGTCCAAAAACTTAGTTCAACAACCACAGAACCAAGAAAGAACAAAACGCGTGCAATGACGCTCAATCACCACCGAAACAAAGCGCAAAGGAACACAACATCAGATGAGCAGATGAACAAGCAACATCAGTGCGAAGGTGTGCAAACAACACTAACCCGTGACACCTGGACGCCAATGGCGCCCTAACGAACCGGTCGAACCGGGTTGTAGCCAGTTGAGAGCGAACGGATCCTCTTCCACCGAATTAGGACCTGGATAGAGCAGACTAGTAGCCCGGTCTGTGGACAGGGAGGTAAAGAAAAAGACGGGTCCAATCTGATGTTGTCTTCTACGTCCCGTATACAAGCCCTCATCCTTGGACTGTCGACTACACAATCGTTCTAGCTTTGGTTTAGATTGACAAAAACGCAAACCACTGTCACTGCAGAAGTTCCCGGAATTTCGGAGGTCTTCAGATTAGGAGCGTAAGTTTACTGACATTCAAATACTACCTACGTTATGAGGGGATGATTTATAAGGTATGGGGTAAACTTGGAATTATCAAACGTGAATATTGTGTGAAAGTAACGTTCAGCTCCATCTGGATTGAAACGGGAAAAAGTATTAAGCCTCTGACTATAGATCCCATAAGATTTCAGTGCCCGTTCGGATTAACCTTTCAAAATTTGAGTAATGAGTTAAAAGGCATACGCTAGTGGAAACAAGCAATATGTGGACAAGTGCTATCGTGCAGGACAGCAAAACGCTGTGGTGGAAAGAGGTGGTTGTCAACAGTCATTTTGTTTGCAAGGTGAAGATCACCTTTAGGATTGATCCGCAAGTTTACCACCAAATTTGTAGAGCCCCTTTTAGACCCTTTATACGAACTACAATTTTTCGTATAGAGCAAACTTTCAAGGTCACCTTCATCTATAGCCCTGTCAATCTGTAGCGGTATGTATGATGGCAACCAGATGGTAAATCCCCTCGTAAAACTTATGGCTGCGAAAAATAATAGCTATTTAGCGGCACAATTCAATGAAGCTACGAGGACTACGATACAGTCTTTTCCACCCCTAGAAAAGAACAATAAAGGCTAGCTTCGAACCATGGACCTTTCGATCAGTAGCTGCGCGCCCTATCCAATGGGTCCAGATCTATTGATGTTCCGCATGAATAGGTACTGGTTGCCCTTTTGAACAGCGCATCTAAACGAAATGGGAGTCAGTTCTCTGAAGTGATATATTTTTGATTCCAAATCCGAAATCGGTTCCACCTCAGAAGCTTCTCGCATATTCTGCGTCGCCTATGCAGTTCGACAATCAAGCTTAAACTTGTCGATTAAAAGGTGGTGAAACTCCATGAAAACTTATGGCAAACAACAGTATATGCGAAAAGTTAAGGATGCAGAGAATGGTAAGACAGTCACGGTTTTGCAGAGAGATTTGAGCCATCAGAGTGATAAACACCCAAGACAGAACGGAGAAGCCGGAGCTTTCTCACCCAGGGGGCTTCATTTAAACAAAGTGGTAAGGGGTACCCACACCAGCAGAGTTCATTCAGAAAAACGACCGAAATGTGCTCAAACAGAAATCAATAGCAGTCAGCAAGAACGAATTGGAAAGAGCGAAGATCAACAACACACATTCGTGCTCTTCATGTGCGCGGTGGTTAGCGACCAAAGGAATATGAGCCATATATTGGGATCAGAGTACAATCAGTAGAGGTGAAAAAGAGACCCTTTCATAGAGGGAACAACCGGCCTATTTCTAGTGGGATCATATAGTAGGTCGCAGCTGTCGAGAAACGTTGTTGCAGATTCTAAGGGCGGAGGAGCCTCAGACGAAAGCATGGAGCAGATGCGATCGATCCAATGCATATTGTTATGTGAATACGGACACACATTTACCCTTATGTCCGCCAACGAAAGCGAACTAATTGCATCACAGACTGCAAGATTTGCAGTTCACCCCTAAACACAACCACGCGCAGTAATAAGACTAACTTATGTGCAATTGCTAGACACAGATGTCCTAGTAGAATGGGTAGAAAACTTCGCTATGCGACCCGTGCCCCCACTTTAAGACACAAAACCCACCGGAGTCATCACGCATTGAGCTTGATAAGGTCACTGAAGGTATCCGGCTGTTGATCATTGGACAGAAACCTTTAGAATCAATTGCGAAATACAAGCGCACAAAAATTAATTCGGGAGCCATTGTGTAGACCAAAGATCACGGGTTTGATTCATACTCCAATTCTGATGACTAACAAAGACTAATAAAGCTCAGAGCTTTCAACCGTCGCGGATGAAACAAAACTTAGTTTAAGTGCTACCACATTAGAATTGAGCAACCGCGAGAGAGCGATTTCCACACTTATAATTGCATATACGGGTATTTCGGACTAGTCGAGCTACATTTCAGCGCTCTCCCTGACATATGGACTAAACTTCATAACAGTAACCGACGTTCCATAATTGCAGTGCCCTTCAGAAGATATTACCGGTGAAAGGAAGAAGGCCTTCGCTGCAGAGTTATTTATTAGGAAATACCAACTGACCGGTTACAGTCCATTGAACAGGGAAGCAAAACTCTAATTTGCATCTTATTTACAAAAACTGGACACCATCTTCTCCCAAACGCGTCTTCCTGAACTTTCCTGGATACCCATTGACTCCAATCATTCCTCGGTCAAATCCAAGCAAACATTACAAAGTGACTCCACGAATTCCGCAACAGATCTCCCCTTTTCAAAAGACGCAAAGCGAAATTCTACGAACAACACATACTACTCGCGTGCCTCCCCATCAGTAGCAACCAGTTCAGATTGAATACTAGAACTTTCAGTGATTCGGTAGCCCGTTTTGCTAGTATGGAAACTCAGATCTTTCTGTATGTCGCCAGCAAAAGTTTGACGTGGTATGACGCAATTAGCTAACGGGCTGCACTAGGTACAACTTAATTTCATAACTTTTGGCAAGAAAAGCCAAGGGGAGCATTCAGAAAAATTTCAAGCTAACGACTGGTATGGCAACTAGGCACCGAAAGGGTATCGAAATTGAGCGATTATTTTCAAGTATTACGAGGCGATCTGGAAGTTAAGTCCTCCGCTAAATGAACATGAAGTAAGCATGCCGTTTCCTTCAGATAAACAGCATATCCACATACGCCAGAGCAGTCATGCTGCTTTCCTCGAGAAAAGAGCCACCTGAAGAAAACGCACGATGTGATAGTCCAACGGTTGGCTGTCACTGAAGGCGAATTACCAGATGCGGTTGAAGCAGAATTAAAACCGACGAAGAGTTCGATGGGACCCCAACGCATCTGCTATGGATAATAGCACCAGGGGTGAGATATGACTTGTTTTCTGTTTTCGAGCTGGGACAGCCCCTGTAGCTAAGTTGGTCGGACTAATGGGTCAGTGGCCATGTGCGTACTCCCACAAGAAAACGTTGAAATTTGGTACCGTGCTGATCAAACTTAGAGATCACAAGCCCAAAGTGGGGTTCAAAAACAAAACTTCACATTCTCCCAGGGCTTTGTGGGTCCGACTATTGAATCAAAAGATGATGGCGGGGTAACTAAACTAGACGTTTCAATCAATTGGAAATAAAATAGATTGCAAATAAAAACAAGCGACTGTTTATCAAGCTCTTCTGAAACGATAAACTAAACCTTCTTCCTCGACCTGAGTAACCGGAATCATCACTTGGCCTCATAGTACACCGATAACTCTCCAGTTACCTTCCACTCTAAAAGCAAACGTCACCGGATCATTTGATTACAGTCTACCCGCCAAATTCAACGTTTCCCATTAACACTAGCAATCGAAATGTACTCACCAACAATTTGGTTCCCAAGAGTGACCCGACTGAAGTTCTTGAATATGATGTTCTTCACGTGAAAACCGAATTGGCACGCAGATGAGTGTATTTCGCTGATTTCATACAATTTGGGTTCAAGTGGAAAATACGGTAGAGGGAAACTCGAGGAATTCGCCTACCTACTCAGCTCCAAGAAGGGTCAAACCGGTCGTAGGCGGTTGAGTTTTCAGGAACATAAAGAGTTATACGTTAATCCACACAACACTTCACTCGGTATCGTTCAGCTGTAGCACCCTTTCGGTGCCTAACTGCCGTGTCACCAGAAGGGAGCACGAGGGCTGCCAGGTTGCCCAAGCCTAGACGGGGAAAGTCGAGAGGCAGAGATCGAACCAAGGACTTTCCGGTCAGTAAATTCGCGCCCTAACCACTGAGCTATCTGGCCCCCCTTTACTAGATTTACGCCATCCCCCCATAGGGGCTTTCAGCGTCAAACTGGCAGATAGACAACGCTCCCTTTCGGACATAAGGATGCCTTAAAACCAAGATACGCTGCATTTCCCAAATTCATACACAAGATCCACATCGCCAATGTATTGGGAAGCAAGGCTTTTATAACGTCCCACATTCACGCTCTCACTGTCCATTTCGACCGGTAGGTTGTAGTCACTTGCACACACCTTAAAAGTGCCACTTTGAAGGAAGGGCCAAACCAAATGCACACTCAGTTCACTCTCAGTAGTGGCCGGAGGTAAAAGATAGTCGAGATTCAACATGACAAAGTAGTGAGAAATCAAATGATCTAGATCAGCGGTAAAAGCCGAATTCCGCACTAACACAGCCGGTAGCGTGATAGAAAGAGGAGACTGTTTTTAATGTTGCAGCGAGTACGAGTAAGCCTGTACAAGGGGACTAGACTATCCCACCTGGGTCCTCATGTATCTAACGCGAAATTTAAGAATGGAGCACTGGATTGCACACATAAGAACCGGCGCGTGTTGGTGGACAGCGGCCAGCCTATGCGGAACGACCATAGAGTTGACGAGGTGAAATTCACATCCTGCTGTCTGAACCGTGTTTGGTTATATACACACGAGTATCTCTGCATTTGGTAGGATTTCACGTGTGGTCATCTTGAATACAAACAGGCACTATTGGTTCTTCCAAGGTGCCTGATTGCGGAGATTGAAGAGGCACGTCCAATTCCATCCACAATGAAAAGTAAACGAACCGCCGGAGCGTTCAGATGGACCCGGATGTTCCTGAGGTCAAGGTGGCTGTACCTGAGGTTCAAACGTGTATACTGAGAAGAGTAGGTTGGGTCTTAGTTGGTAGTAAGGCGGCTTATCCACTATCGATCCTTGTTTCTATCTGTGACTCCTCTTAAGCAGTTTGATTTCGTTACCGGTAACATCTGGTAAATCATTTTGTACTGAACAAGACGAGGAGCTGACGTCTGACACACGCGCCACAGAC